AAATAAAACCTGCTCACATATAACACATTTTAGTGGCGTAAATGGTGTCCCCCAAATACATCATACTCACATATAACACATCATAGTGGCGTAAATGGTGTCCCCAAAATAAAACCTACTCACATATAAACATCATAGTGGCGTAAATAGTGTCCCCCAAATAAAACCTACCCACATATAACACATCATAGTGGTGTAAATAGTGTCCCTCAAATAAAACATACTCACATATAATACATCATAGTGGCGTAAGTATTGTCCCCCAAATAAAACATACTCACATATAATATAACACATCATAGTGGTGTAAATAGTGTCCCTCAAATAAAACATACTCACATATAACACATCATAGTGGCGTAAATAGTGTCCCCAAAATAAAACATACTCACATATAACACATCATAATAGCGTCAATAGTGTCCCCAAAATAAAACATACTCACATATAACACATCATAGTGGCGTAAAAAGTGTCCCCCAAATACAACATACTAATTTATTACACATCATAGTGGCGTAAATAGTGTCCCCCAAATACATCATACTCACATATAACACATCGTAGTGGCGTAAATAGTGTCCCCCAAACAAAACCTACTCACATATAAACATCATAGTGGCGTAAATTGTGTCCCCAATTAAAACGTACTCACATATAGTACATCATAGTGGCGTAGATAGTGTCCCCCAAATAAAACATACTCCCATATAACACATCGTAGTGGCGTAAATAGTGTCCCTCAAACAAAACCTACTCACATTGAAACATCATAGTGGCGTAAATAGTGTCCCCAAAATAAAACATAGTCACATATAATACATCATAGTGGCGTAAACAGTGTCCCCCAAATAAAACCTACTCACATATAACACATCATAGTGGCTAGTGGCGTAAATGGTGTCCCCCAAATACATCATACTCACATATAACACATCGTAGTGGCGTAAATAGTGCCCCCCAAACAAAACCTACTCACATATAAACATCATAGTGGCGTAAATAGTGTCCTCCAAATAAAACATACTCACATATAGTACATCATAGTGGCGTAAATAGTGTCCCCAAATAAAACCAACCCACATATAACACATCATAGTTGTGTAAATAGTGTCCCCCAAATACATCATCCTCACATATAACACATCGTAGTGGCGTAAATAGTGTCCCCCAAACAAAACCTACTCACATATAAACATCATAGTGGCGTAAATAGTGTCCTCCAAATAAAACATACTCACATATAGTACATCAGAGGGGCGGAAATAGCTTCCCCAAAATAAAACCTACCCACATATAAACATCATAGTGGCGTAAATAGTGTCCCCCAAATATATAACACATCATAGTGGCGTAAATAGTGGCCCCCAAATAAAACCTACTCACATATAACACATCGTAGTGGCGTAAATAGTGCCCCCCAAACAAAACCTACTCACATATAAACATCATAGTGGCGTAAATTGAGTCCCCAATTAAAACATACTCACATATAGTACATCAGAGGGGCGGAAATAGCTTCCCCAAAATAAAACCTACCCACATATAAACATCATAGTGGCGTAAATAGTGTCCTCCAAATAAAACATACTCACATATAGTACATCATAGTGGCGTAAATAGTGACCCCAAAATAAAACATAGTCACATATAATACATCATAGCGGCGTAAACAGTGTCCCCAAAATAAAACATACTCACATATAACACATTATAGAGGCGTAAATAGTGTCACCCAAATAAAACATCCTCACATATAACACATCATAGACGCGTAGATAGTGTCCCCCAAATAAAACATACTCCCATATAACACATCGTAGTGGCGTAAATAGTGCCCCCCAAACAAAACCTACTCACATATAAACATCATAGTGGCGTAAATAGTGTCCCCCAAATATATAACACATCATAGTGGCGTAAATAGTGTCCCCCAAATATATAACACATCATAGTGGCGTAAATAGTGTCCCCGAAATACATCATACTCACATATAACACATCGTTGTGGCGTAAATAGTGTCCCTCAATCAAAACCTACTCACATTTAAACATCATAGTGGCGTAAATAGTGTCCTCCAAATAAAACATACTCACATATAGCACATCATAGTGGCGTAAATAGTTTCCCCAAAATAAAACCTACCCACATATAAACATCATAGTGGCGTAAATAGTGTCCCCGAAATACATCATACTCACATATAACACATCGTTGTGGCGTAAATAGTGTCCCTCAATCAAAACCTACTCACATTTAAACATCATAGTGGCGTAAATAGTGTCCTCCAAATAAAACATACTCACATATAGTACATCAGAGTGGCGTAAATAGTTTCCCCAAAATAAAACCTACCCACATATAAACATCATAGTGGCGTAAATAGTGTCCTCCAAATAAAACATACTCACATATAGCACATCATAGTGGCGTAAATAGTGTCCCCAAATAAAACCAACCCACATATAACACATCATAGTTGTGTAAATAGTGTCCCCCAAATACATCATCCTCACATATAACACATCGTAGTGGCGTAAATAGTGCCCCCCAAACAAAACCTACTCACATATAAACATCATAGTGGCGTAAATTGAGTCCCCAATTAAAACATACTCACATATAGTACATCATAGTGGCGTAAATAGTGTCCCCGAAATACATCATACTCACATATAACACATCGTAGTGGCGTAAATAGTGCCCCCCAAACAAAACCTACTCACATATAAACATCATAGTGGCGTAAATAGTGTCCCCGAAATACATCATACTCACATATAACACATCGTAGTGGCGTAAATAGTGTCCCTCAAACAAAACCTACTCACAGTTAAACATCATAGTGGCGTAAATAGTGTCCTCCAAATAAAACATACTCACATATAGTACATCAGAGGGGCGGAAATAGCTTCCCCAAAATAAAACCTACCCACATATAAACATCATAGTGGCGTAAATTGTGTCCCCAATTAAAACGTACTCACATATAGTACATCATAGTGGCGTAGATAGTGTCCCCCAAATAAAACATACTCCCATATAACACATCGTAGTGGCGTAAATAGTGTCCCTCAAACAAAACCTACTCACAGTTAAACATCATAGTGGCGTAAATAGTGTCCCCCAAATAAAACCTACTCACATATAACACATCGTAGTATTATGCATATGACTATCTGATACTTTCCCTGTGATTAAGTTTGAGAGATAGGATGGAGTTTTCGTATGATACATTTTGTGGAACTGTAAGATTTTATGATTTTCCCGTCAGTTAGATAATTTTTCCTAGTCCACATCTTTATACAATAAACTAACACTCGTTTGTAGGGAGTCTCCTAAAACATCAATTCTGAAAGTTTTCATAACTAAGAATACGTGTGTACATGCTTTATTTTGTTCATATTTCATTATTTGCACGCATTTTCATAAATCAACAATAATAAAAAATTGAATATTTTCACGTGTAGTGGTGATAAGAAATTCTTAAGATAAGTTCGATTATCATTTCATTTATCATCACTGATATGAGCAGAACAAATGACTTGTACAAACACATAACAGATTACTATTGTTATGTCCGACAGGACAACAGCAACAAAAACCATGCCGACAAAGATGGCGGTGCAACATACGCAAGTACATACTAATGCATATCAATGGATATCGAATACGGTAACCAATTCCGGATGTACTAATAGTGGATGTTAGCGCTGTTTGTGTTGCTATTATTAATGTTTATATAATTAGGGACATACACAACAACTAAGTCAAAGGAAAATTATCTCGTATAATGTCTCATTATAAGTATTAAATATGACAGAGGTTTACAGTAAAGTAGATTCACTAGTTTATAGAAGGCATGAGATCAGGTAAAAGGGTAGATTAACATAATAGAGTCCGGATAACCCAAAGTTTAATGACTATAATCAAACAGTTTACCAGAGTCCAACATGTTTGGCTGGTTAGGAAACAGGAAACACAATTTTTACCTTGTATCTTCAACATGCGTGTTGAGGAGAAACTAAGTTCCAAAATATCAATTGGACAGTCACTATGAAACTATAATTGTTAATGCAGCATCATGGATAGAATCTACCAACTGACAACTGATGTCCTGTTTCGACCTACAGTAACACCTCCGATATCACAAACATGTTATATACGACCCTGGAATTAGATTATCTCAAGTCAGTGATGCGACGGAGAAGTGTACATACATGTGTGGGGTGTGTGTGTGTGTGTGTGTGTGTGTGTGTGTGTGTGTTACACTCTATGTATAATGATTATTGTTGATGAAATAAACAAATAAACAAATATATGTTTATTACCTCAATTATTGCTATAGACCAAAGGTCTTGATACCGTAGCATGTGACAGTTGAAGTGGGTGTCCACATTTGCAATACGCTGCCAGTGCATCGGCCAGCACCACTAACTGCACCACCCTGCTGCCTTCCCTCCAACTCTGGACTTCCTTAGATTCTCGACATCGAAATTACGATCCATTAATATGTCAGCTGTAAATGGCCAGAATATACTTCATTACTTTGTTTTGACCTTGAAACTGAATTACAGTGTATTTTGCGGGTGAAACAAAAACGTCTGTCCTTCCTGATACCTGTTTTACTTATCTTTGTACTTTTCAGTTGTCTCCGTTTAAGGTTTCTTGTTGGCAAAATTTTAAGCTTTGTAATCTTTTTTTGTTTTTAAACTAGTGTCAATGTGGCCCTATAATTGGTCAAAGTCACAATCTCACTTGTTACTGAAGTCCAAAAGAATTTTAAGAATACTAAAGTATCTTGCCAACAGTATATCATTCACATACTACCGGAACTTGCAGTGTATACCTGTACACATTCACTGCTGGTTTTCAATATTGATGGATCAGCTAATCAGTTCACCACAAACGCTCCATCAAACGTGCATTTGGTAACAGGTAGCATATGTGGCTAACTGTCACGTGATCATCATTGAACCAGGCAGTTACAAAACCAGATATGGCACTAAACTGGTATGCTGTTTTGATGTTTTCGGCAGTTATTGGGGCAGAGGTGTCTCAATCAGTGTATAAAATGACCGTTGTCTATTACAAGGAAGGACACTTAGTAGATGCACTTGACCATTACGTCACGACGACCTTAGCCAACCATTCACATGTGGACGAAACTGTAAAAAGGTACTGTCCTGTATGATTTAATGGTATGACTGATGTTTTTTAAAGGATATACATGTATATCAGTAATTTATTCCAAAATGGAATTGTAAAATTATAGTCCATCATTGGAGGACCATTATACAGTGATATAGAGTAAACTGATATTGCAATACAGCACTATAATGACTAAATAAAAAAAAAAAAAAAAAAAAAAAAAAAAAACCCCAGNCCCAGATTGATAAATGCAATAAACGTAAGAGCTATTTCCTCTTGCAAAGTCTGTAAATATGTATCAATACGCATATGCAATGTGACTCTGGTCAACTTCATGGACAAATGAAACAAACATGATTTGGTAGTTTCAATGTGTCCAACTTGAGTAGAAATAGAAATATTTGTTATCGTACTAGCACTGGTAAGATGTAGTATCCATTGTTACCCGAGGTAGAAGGACGTCTTACACTGTCGGACCGTGGCTTTGTTTGTTTGTTTGTTTGTTTGTTTCATTGAATTAACGTCCTATTAACAGCTAAGGTCATTTAAAGACGGCCTCCCCTTTGTGCGTGATGCATGCGTGAAGTGAGTGTGTGTGTGTTTTTTTTTTGGGGGGGGGTGTCCCAAATATAGTCGCCTCTTACGATCATGCAATGGGGGCAGCAGGTACAATTCTTACGCCCTACCTGCACGGTATCTGACCGTGGCACTGGATTAATCTCTACACTCGTTTTATTCTGAAACATATTTCTTCTATCAGAAATTTGTCTTTTCCCCCTGTTAAAAATCATAACTCTTACCATTGACCTGAAGAAACGCATTCGTTCACTTACATGTATAACGAAAGCTTTGTTTCGCAGATAGGCAAAATATATTGTTGTAAACTACTGAAATTAAAATATCAAAAGAAATTAAATAAGACAAAGGACTGAAATGACTGAAGATAGCTTTGAAAAGTTCGATAGCAAGTTTTCCAAGCAAGCTGTTAACACATTCCTGGTGATAGCTAAGTCATACTTTTGGTCTGCTTGGTTTTGTTTCATACGATGCTAGATTCATCAAAGAGTTTATTGGTACTGATACCAAAGTCCTTGTGAAGCTCTCCTGTTTTGCTTTCAGATATGTGTTGGTTTTGAATAATAAAACATTCCGAACATATATTCCGGAAGTTGAAAGCAAGACCACTACAAACTCCTGTACATCAGCAGCTTCATTCAATATTTTCTTACTAAACGACCAACATGGTAGACTCTCCTTACTTCTACATCGCATGTGTGCGGGTGTTACATCAATTTTCTAAGCAGTAACATGGAAATGACAAAACAAATATACTGGGTTCCGAAAATGCAGTTTGATGAATAATATCTGTAAGTTGCATGGTTTCCATCATGAACTCATTTGGAAATATTCTATTCTATTTAATGTCGACGGTATTGATTTTGCTAGTAAGTGTGTATTGGATTTCGTTGTCTCTATTCCGATTCTCATTTTTATGAGGTGACGCTACTTGAATGTGACCTATGACGGATCGACTAGAGGTTACATGACATTACAAAATACCTACTATTATTTTCCATGCCCCTTTTCAAAGGCTCATTGGTAAAATATGTCCGTTTTCATGTTTTGCTCTAGTATCAACCACTTTTGAATTCGAAATAAAGTTTTATGCACAAGTTTGTATACTCCTATTTTTTCATTTAAACCATAAAACAGTAATTTATTGAACTTTTCTTATTTTGCATTAGTCGAGCTTGGATAATCCATCCACTGTTAATTCGATTCCCCTACTTTGTAATTAGCGTTTATGGGAAATTGCTTACCATTAACCTAAACAAAAGACATTCAGCCCTCGAATGGACCTTTATGTAATAGTGTTGCATTTCGCAGTAAGAATATACAAACGATTCCTTGTGTAAGTGAAATGTCTCTATGGTCACTATATACATGGTATTAATTGTGACGTTCTCATTGACGCGTATATCGGCAATGCAAACGACAAACTTTGGGCCTGTATTCCTTGCATTTTATGTAGGGATGGGTTGTCAACAAATGTACATGATTTATTTAATTGTTGATATCCAAACATAAACAGAAAATGATTGAATAAAAGTTGAAAAATGTTCATTTCACAAGCTAGATTGGAGTTATCTCCCATGCACTGTTTAATTGGATTGTTATGACAGAATACATGTAATGTTTGTAAATAAGTTTGGAAAGGACTTAAATAGGCCTAGCCTGATGTCCAATCCAATTGTCATAAATAAAGTCAATAAAATCTGTTGAAATTGAAATTGAAAAAAACGACAAACTGAGAGAAGAAGAGAAAGGATATTGGCAGCAGTCTTATTTTAGCACTGTTTTCACTTTAACTATCACCATTGCGTAAAATTAAGATAGGGTTAATTGTCATCTTTTGTATATATTGTGGGTACGCTATTTAAATACACCTTATCTTATAATAGCGTAAATTGACATGTATTGCATTAATTATGGATGCACTTATTGAATTATTACGTCAATTGTCATCTATAACATATATTGTGGGTGCGCAAATTAAGATAATGTGTTAAATAATGATATCGTAAACTGTCATCTTTTGTATATATTGCCGGTGCTCTAAAATAACTGTTGAACTTAATTATGACAGCGTAAGTTTTCATTCTTTGCAAATATTGTCGGCACGCTAATATAACTAATTTCTATATTATGATAGCGTACATTTTCATCCTTTGCTTATACTGTGGGTGCGCAAAATTAAGTACTACGCTAAAATATGATAGCGTATATTGTCATCTAAAGCATATTTTGTGTTTGCGCAATTTTACTTTTGCGTTAAATAATGATATCGTAAATTGTCATCTATTGTATATATTGTGGGTGCTTTAATATAAGTATTGAACCAAATTATGATAGTGTAAATTGTCTTTTATATGCAAATATTGCGAGTGCGCTTTTTCAACAGCGAAAGTAGCCTGTTAAAATTCGACAAAACATGTATTGGGACTTCCTTGACACTCCAGGGTTACGCTCACTTTCGCTTTCTGCACACTTGAAATATGTCATAGCAAAATTGAATGTTTAGTGTGCGCCACCTTGACGATAAGACAAGAAGACTATAGTTGGACACTTTGATGAATCTCGCGGTCGCGTAACGGTATAACTTACTGGCTTTGAAGTCGGGCGTCGCTCCTCTGTTATCTTCACAGGACAGGTATCAGCCTAGTGATGTGTCAGTCGTTACCTGAGACCAATCAAATAGCTAGCCGCGTGCTTTAAATTTGCTACGACATATCCAGAGTTGCAGAGAGCGAAAGTGGAATAAATGTAATAAACATGGATCGATTTTTTCTGAAATACCACATTTGTGACGATATTGAAGTGTTAACGCTGAATAGGTTATGTTCAGCACTAAGCTGCTTGCGTAAAAGTAATAACGGATGTATTCATTAGGTCTAATAATTACCTTTTGTATTTATGTCAAACATTGATCAAAACCGTATTTTTCCAAGCTTTCTTGACAATATAAAAGAAAAGAGATCCGGAATCGACAACGTCACAGAATGGATTGGTCATCCTATTAATGCTTTCCAATTGGTCGAGCGGACAGCAAACGGTTGGAAAAAGGTCGAGCAGAACATCAAAAGTAGTACAGTTGTTCCTACCAAGGCGACGCTGGGTAAGAATTGTCCTCGGAAGAAACTAACAGTCGACTAATGACTGCACTAGCAATGTCATTACGTACAGTAAAACCTCGTTATACCGCCACCATTTATACAGCCAATATTTGGCGTTATAAAGAGGTTTGGTGATAAATTGAGTTAAACATATTTATAGATTATCACACTGTATTTTCAGGGTTTGTCGTTCGAACGAAAACTCTGAACATACTGTATGATAAACTATTTATCATCTATATACTACTACCTTATATATTGATCTCCATTTAAAAAACTCAACTAAACACCATGTTTTCCAAACGACTTATAAGCTCGATGGTGAACGATCGTCTGTGACAAACGTAAACAAATATAATTTTTGCGCGGAGGAATACAAAATTGGCTTTTCCATATGTATATTAACACCTGAAATGGTATGTTTATGACGGACTATTTTCTTACGCTGATCACTTTTCTGTGATCACTATTTCCGGTTTCGGACATCATCTGGGCCGAGCAGACGTTCTTTTTTGAGAAAATACGATCCCAAGTGCTGGAGAATGGGAAAATCCGTTCTCAAGTCGTTCTCAACTTCCTCTCATACTGACAACCAATGATAATGGATTTATCATGCTACCGGTAGGTGGTATCAAGTAGTACATGTATATAGATGATAAAAAGGAATTCTTAACAATAAGACAAAACGGGATCCTTTAAATATGTTGGCGGTCAGTGAGGTGGCAAATGAAACAAGGGACATTATATCGAGGTTTTACCGTAATTGCATATTTTTTTTTATAAAAATGAAAGCAAAATAAAGAGGCAAATTCTACAGATATGCACCAAACTCGACAACTTTAAAATGGAAAGATAAAAACAAACAAATTTACGTCCGATATTTGTGGATAAATTTTAAAAGACTTTCTTAAAATATAAAAGGCAAAATCGTTCTTCGTTGGAAGGATTAATGCACGCATTAGGAAAGGATTTTGCAATTGTTAGAACAACTTTATACGCAGCATCATAATCTGCAAATGTATAAAACATTAAATTAAAGATGTATTGGGGTCTTCAATCCTTAATTCTTTAACAGTTTGTTTTACTTTATACAAACAATATACTTGTCGCAACGTTTCCAGACCGACTCGACACTTGCCAAAGTAAAACCTTGATACAAGATGCAATGATGGCTTCAATTTGCAGACTTTAACATTATATTATATTATAACATTGTTCATTCAGTTATTTTGCTTCAGATTTCCTTTCCTACTGGAATGAGGTAATAGACGTAGATGGTATCTGGACAGGTAGAGATGACGTCAATATTTCTGCGCAAGGATTATGTAGACTTCATCAAACCTACAAACTGGATCTCAAAACTCTGATGTCCGGGACCATTTTGAACAAAACTGCATCCCCACTGACTACTTCAGATGTCATCAATATAGGAATCTATCTTAAAGCAGAGGATCAGATTGAATGGTACGAAGCATACCTGGAGTTGGATGACGTCACCGAGAAGGAATCTGTACTGTACAAGCTGGCTATGACTTACTATATGGTAAGGCAACAGTGATATGGGGGAATGGAGACAGGGTTCACTTTTGGATACATAAATGTTAATCTTTAAGTAGTTATCCATAATGACACAAAACCAATGACAATATTTCAAGTGTGTCCGACAGGTGGGAGTTTCACTAGCGTTACCTCCACCTCCAAAAACGTCTTGGCCATTGTGGTCATTTTTAAGCAATTATGCCCGTGCGATTGTTTATGAGATGCTAATACAAGTCAACTGATCAAAGAAAACTGTCCTTTTACTACATATCATGGTATATGTGGTAAGTAAGGTTTCTATGTCAAATTCAGGACGACACGTATGCTATTATCAGTGCATGACTTTAATTATTACTTACATGGAAATATATAGCCGTAAAATGCTGGAACTTAATTTAATTCAGGTAGTAGTTGTATAGCTTCTTTATTGTGAGAATTTGAGACATGCCGACGGTACATATAAAGAGATTTCTTGTAAAGAATTCTTTGATTTCATGTTACCTTTTTCATACATTTTTTATTTTTATTCTATGAAAATAGGAAGATTTTGCATGGAAATCACTGAGTATTTTTACAGATTTACAGAAGATAAGTAAGTATTATCATAAATACATAATTTATATTGTTTCAATATTATTCCAATCGCACTGATCTTTACTTGTTCTCACGAATCAACGGATAGTATCTAACGAAGTGTTATCGAGTGAATGATACGTGGGGAAATAAATCTCAAAACGTGAAATTGAAAACGCAAATTGTGATTTCAATATTTTTCAATGTTAAGTTTAACCTAAAAAGTCTTATCAAAACATTGTGAATCATCATTAATCTTTATTCACTAATGTGTTGATACATTGAACTGTATCAAATCCAATATGTGAGTTTAAATATTCTGTAACCTAGGTTCCCGGCCTCTAGAAAACCTGGTCAAGATCGTCAGACAAAAGGCCGAGAAGGCAGGGAACGATAGGCCGTTTAAGAAGAGAAAGGGTCCAACCTCATTTTTGAGTAAAATCTACGAAAATTTGTGTCGGGGAAACATACAGGTACTATTATGCCGATCCAATGAATACTTATAATTATCGTCGTTTTTCTATTTTTGGATACAATTTATCTTATCAACAGAGTGAGAAAAACGAGAACTCTGATGATCGTAAAACTAAGTGCTTAGCTTGCTCAATCAGTCAAATTATTACTTTCAGACAAACCAAGCTATACCCGTCCTGCATTGTTACAACAAAGTGACAAGAATCCCCTACTACACAGGTAAAGAGGAGGTACTGAGCTACATACCACGAATATCCAGGTTCCATGACGTCATATCAGACGCGGAGATTTCACAGCTTCAGGATTTCTCCAAGCCTGATGTAAATTTCATTTGACTCACCACCCCCACCTCCCTAAAAATGTTATCGACCACTGAATCACTTCATACGGTATCCCGGGGAATTTTTGCCCAGTCACACATTCGTCCTTTGCCCGTAAAGTCTATATTTGCTAAACGTATAAATTCGAACTTCACATTTATTAACAATGTTTAATATATTGCTTCTAATCTTTGCCGCAATGATTTTTTTTGGTCAAATTTAACACTTTCACATTTTAAAATGTGTGGCATTGTTCAAAACTATTACAACAATAAAGTAATGAAAAGAAGCATTGCTAATTAACCCTACACATATTTTATTTGTCATAAAATATCTGGAACACGTTACACAAAGTGTTTTTTATTGATATTGTATGGACATAAGTTATTATATACAAGCTAAAAGCAAACAGGGCACATAGTTTCATACAAAAAGAGTGAAAAAATTAACCAAATATACACAAAGTCTTTATACTTCATTTATTTTACATTTTGAAATCATTTTGATCCTGATGAGAGTTGTCTACCTTGAAAAAAAACGGAACTTTTTGCAGAGGGATAGCATTTATACAATGACACTTGTTTTCTTCACTATAATAAAAACGATGGAAATAAATTAAATTATGATGTTTAAATTGTCAATTGAATTTATGGATCAAAATTACTTTCAATCATGTAAACTTTGGACATTATTCCATAGCCCGCTTACGCATGGCCAGTTTACATGTCAGGTACATACAGTAACCATAGGCTATCGCATGGTATGCCGTTAACACTTGCACGCACATGCATTTGCATTTTATAGGGATCTTAATACTAATAATCGTAATTTTATTCAGGTAAAAGACATGTGTTACAGGGTTAAAATGCATTTTTACACCATTTGGAAACTCAAAACTTTTATATTATATCTCTCCCTACTCCAAGTAGAGACATAATTCAATCATTGAACAAAAAGAAAATATAATTTTGTCTGGCAATCACCAATTGATAGAATAAAACGCTCAACAATTGTTCAAGACTATAGTGAGGGTGGAAAACTTTATATATGGAGTTAAAACTAGCATTCAATGGGTCACTTTCAGGCTTCTTTCAAGAATACTTCCACTAAATCATTATTTGAAAATAATTGGAATCAAACAATGTGATTTATGTTATTTATGCCAAGAAAGCAAACAAACTATAGAACAACTTTTTTAACAGTGTCAAATAACAAATAACTTCTGGCAAGACATACGTAGAAGGATATACTTAAAAACTGACCAAACATTCGAAATAAAGGAAGATATTATACTTTTTGGCAAAACTTCTGAATTCCAAAAATCTATTCCAACTAAAATCATCATGATTTATGCAAAATTCTTCATCTACTTTAGCTCCAGAAAGGTTTACTGTTTATATTTATGTTTAATAATGGCTATCTTTTAGTGCTGTATTAAATGTGTATTACTGTTATATGTAAGAATAGAAACTGTATTTTGTTGCTGACATTAGTATCAATGTGGCTTAATTTAAGGAATTTTGTTTTTCATATAATGTAATGTTATTTTTCTTTTTCATATAATGTAAAAATTAATATTTAATGATTATTTTCTATTACTTAGTTCTGTATTAAATGTGTATTACAGTTATACATGTATGTAGGAAATAAAAAACTTTTTATCCATTTATTATTGAACCTAGTATCATATCTACAAAATGAGTTGACATTCTTAGTTGAAACAGGCTATAACTAAACTTCAAAGGTTTCCTATATAAACACCTTCCTTTCAATTCTCCAGAGTTGATGTTCGGGGAATGAGCCAAAAGAGTTCCAATACCTGACCTTGCCATTTATAAATAAAAGCCCCTCATCGACATTTTCGCCGATCATGGAGCCAGTGGCGACCCAAAGCGCGAGCCTTGGCGTGTAATGATAAAGAAAAAGAGACGTTATTCAGCTTTTCTACCTGAACATCTTAATACAACATTTTTATTGGTTTAAAAAGAAATGTTACCAATATAGTCGTTGGTCAGACATACATTTCTAAATCATTCAATAGCAATATATAATATTACAGTCTACCCTTCGGGAACTTCAAAGGTGCCTGATTCATATTCGGAACATCTTCAGTTTGAAATTAGGAACGCCTTTAGGTTTTTTTTTTAGATCTATTCCTTTGTTAAAGGAAATGGATATCTGAGTTATCGAAGAGCTTATAATTAGCGACAGAAGCAAACACACGAAAGCTCGTCATTGTAGTCGGCAACAGATGTCAAAATGTGGGACTGAAACCGAAATTAATAGTCCCCGCCGGGGTTCACCCATGGGTGACTAAAAACATGTGTATTACGAAGGGTGGGAAGTCCTTAACATGTATGTAAATTGTCATTAGTCATATAGTTTGACAATGCTCGCTCATTTATCATTTTGTGACTAGTCTACCGTAAAACTCAAGTCAGAAATAATAGGCTTCTCCGATTTTAGTATATATCTTCTTTTGTGTAGTTAACGCCTTCCGATGTCCTTGGAAAGGCCGGACAACATTTTCCTGGCAGAATTAGTGAAACGTAAGTGTAGTTATGCTCTCCGAGTGTTTTGTCTCGTCTGTGTATTTATTAGTATTTTCGATATTTGTCAATGTTATGAGAGAGTATATATATATATATATATATATATATATATCATGTATATGTGTTACACTGATGAGTCGCAAGACTCAAAGTTAATAAAGAACTTTAGCCTAAAAAAAAAAAAAAAAAATACCAGCCCGGGTATGTCCATTTTACTGTTCTTTAGACAAACATCAAAGCTATGCAAAGTGCGGTCATGTGATGTTTCTGTTAACACACCTGATACTTTGTAAGAATATACATAATATCATTGGACAAAGTAAACGCTGTATATGGTAATGATATTTCTTTATTAGTTTTTTAACAGTCTTGTTTTTATTGATTTTTTTGAGAACAGTTGCGACATCCAAAATATATCTCTCCCAACGAACACAAAGGTTTTAGAGGCGGACGAGTAACAACTTAACTAATCATTTTTTACCCATACCCCGTTAAAGGGACATCACGGTGAAGTATATTTTTGTGACTTTTTTTTGAAAATACTTCATGAATATATCAAGTGAGTCTCTTAATGGCAAATAACGGTCGGATTTTGCTATTACTAATAGAAGAGAGATTCCTTATCCTGTCTGGTCAGACAGTCTGTTCTGCAGTTGTTTGCGTCAGATCTAATAACGCATGCGCACAACACGCCATTTCATTGTAAACAACATGACTTGCCGTGGGAAATGTCAGCGAGTGAAATGCCTGACGGCCCCTCTCAATGGGGCCCCTTTGGAAACTTTGCATCTCAGTCAGACCACCTGTGTTTACTGCCTCGTTTCAAAATCGTCACCTGTCGTAACTGGCGCTATATTTAACGGGGCTCTCCCGAACAATTCAGGTGATCAAACTGGACATTTGGAACGGACTATGAATATGGGGATAGCGAGGTAACATAAGTGGAAGTGCATACAACACCTACATTCATTAAAAAATTATGGCTCTTCATGTGATGTCCCTTTAAGAAGTTCGACGTCTATTGTCCAGGAAAACAAAAGTTGCGCTCGCACCTATTAATACACCTGCTCACAATTATTGCAATTGCTTAGTCTTCATGGCAGACATGGCAGACATGGCAGACATGGACTTCCAGAAAGAATGTTATATAGGTATTTATACACACAATACTGAAATGGCTTTTAAATTTTAGTTTAATAGGTATGACTATGCTATCTTTGTAACAGTTCCTGGATAGAACCTTCAAAAGATGTTTCCAAAAAGCTAGAGAAGAGAATTGAACTTCTAACACGACTGGATACAGTCTATCGAGAGGAAACAGTAACATCTGAATACTTTCAAGTAAGACATAACATGTAAGATAAAACATCTGATGAATGTATTTTAAAGGGAACACATTATTCGTTCGTACTGTAGGACCCTGTTGTTAATGAGACAAATAAATCTGTCGATCACTGTTACGAAAAATATTTTACTACGTAAAACGACCATATGATTTAAAAAGTCGACTAGACATTTTTTTTAATACTTGCAAAAGGAACTGATAAACAGAATTTGCTCATAATAATTAATAATGTTGCGAAAATGAGTCGTATTTACCTTTTCGTACTATACACTAACGTCATCGTCTCCCTTCTAATTACGTGACCTGTATATATATTGGAAGAACTATTTTGGAACACATTTTGTAAATATAACGACTTAACGACTATTAAAGGCCAATATGAAATACACTGAGGATGAAATCGTGACAATAATTTAATTGATGATGACATTTTCTTTTACGAGTTCAGCAGCGAGATTTTCCAGCGGACTGATGGCTTTTTTCATGGAAACAAGTAGTCCGAATAATTCTGACGTTTTATTGACTTTTTACTTGATATCGGTCTGGCGTCGATTACCCCTAGACCGATATAAAAAGTCGACAAAACGACAGAATAATTCGGACTAGGGAACAAGCTACTCCTCTCCTGGCCGACAGGACTGATAACAAATCCTTTAATTTGTTATACCACCGCCCCCGTTTCACTTTCTGATATTTCAATGATATCTTGTCTGAACGTACGCTTAAATATTTGATGGTAACCATTATTACCAACACACAACCGTTAACAAAAGCGTGTGAATTATGTTTCCCAGGTGGTGAATTATGGATTTGGGGGACACTATTTACGCCACTATGATGCGTTATATGTGAGTATGTTTTATTTGGGGGACACTATCTACGCCACTATGATGTGTTGTCTGTGAGTATGTTTTAATTGGGGGACACTATTTACGCCACTATGATCTGTTATGTGAGGGTATGTTTTATTTGGGGGACACTATTTACGCCACTATGATGTGTTATGTGTGAGTATGTTTTATTTGGGGGACACTATTTACACCACTATGATGTGTTATATGTGAGTATGTTTTATTTGGGGGACACTATTTACGCCACTATGATGCGTTGTCTGTGAGTATGTTTTATTTGGGGGACACTATCTACGCCACTATGATGTGTTATATGTGAGTATGTTTTATTTGGGGGACACTATTTACGCCACTATGATGCGTTGCGTGTGAGTATGTTCTATTTTGGGGACACTATTTACGCCACTATGATGTTTATATGTGTGTATGCTTTATTTGGGGGACACTATTTACGCCACTATGATGCGTTGCGCGTGAGTATGTTCTATTTTGGGGACACTATTTACGCCAATATGATGTTTATATGTGAGTATGTTTTATTTGGGGGGGCACTATTTACGCCACTATGATGCGTTGTCTGTGAGTATGTTTTATTTTTGTTACACTATCTACGCCACTATGATGTGTTATATGTGAGTAGGTTTTATTTGGGGGACAATATTTACGCCACTATGACGCGTTGTCTGTGAGTATGTTTTATTTGGGGGACACTATTTACGCCACTATGATGTATTATATGTGAGTATGTTTCATTTGGGGGACACTATTTACGCCTCTATGATGTGTTATATGTGAGTATGTTTTATTTGGGGGACACTATTTACGCCACTATGATGTTTATATGTGTGTATGCTTTATTTGGGGGACACTATTTACGCCACTATGATGTATTATATGTGAGTATGTTTCATTTGGGGGACACTATTTACGCCTCTATGATGTGTTATATGTGAGTATGTTTTAGTATACTTTAGAATTGATAACTCATGCCGGAAAAAGCTGGTTTATATACGTAGTTATAGTTTTTAGAAGTGGTACAGGGAATATTAATATATCCCAGAGGCCTCAGACAAATTCCCCATCTTGTCATTAAACAAATCTTCTCATGTTAGGTTGTCCGGCAAAATATAGTTAATACAACAACAACATACCGTCTTATACAATTGCTGTAAAAAAAGTCAAATACCAAATGAATTTGAATGAAATAGCTAGCATGGTCAAAAAATGTCAATGACTGAAAAAAGCCACGTGTCACTTAATTCTTTTATCTTTTTACCTTACAGTCGGATCAGAAATACGCTAAAGATAATGTGTATGGAGACAGAATAGCTACCTGGATGTTTTATGTAAGTAGTGTCAACACGGAAGTGTCGTGATTTGTGCTAAACACGCATTAACTTTATGTGAGTAGAGTTTAGTTCAGCTTAACATATCTTTCATCAATCAGTGTTAGGGTTCCTTTGTTTAGAATTATACAGCTGTGCCAAGCCGTTGTTTAGTCATTTGTTTTATATTACATTGGACAATGTCTAATGAGTTTAAATCATGAGTTGCTAGATCATCTACCAGTCAATATTTTCTTCATTGACTTACCCATATTTCAATTGGTAATGTTTGTTCCATGTGCAAATGCAAACAATTGAATATTGATGACTGAAATTACATTATATATCTACTAATTAAAGAAAGGCGGGGACGTCTAAATACATGAAATATGCATACATCTTTAAAATGACATGTTTTTGTGGTGGCCTGTTGATAGAATTTTTTAAGCAGCTTTTTTTGAGGTAGGTGCGTTAGCCATCCGGAGGTAGAAGGGGTACACCAATTGGGGAGAAAACTGATTGAATATATTTAGAAAAAAATAAAATACATGTAACTTGACAAATAGACATTTGCAAATAAAGCACGGGAAATCGTTTGGATGTTGGAAAAAACACTAATCCTAAAAAATGGGATTGCATATTTTGCTTAATTTTGATATTAGCAATTCTGAACAAATGGGAATCACGTTTAGATAATTAAAGTAAGGGGTCCCTTTAGGACAGAAGTACGGTGTCAAAATACGGTGACAAGATCTGTTTACTTTTTATATATAACGTGTATATCTTGCAGAAGATTGTTGATGTATTGTACGTTGAGCAAAACATTATTAAATAAAAAATTGTAACATTAAAAGCTCGTAGGTAATCTTTAAATGGTCATTTTTGTACTTGGATGTAAACAGCGTTAGTGTGCATTGCGTATTTGTATATAATTATATATGAATCTTGCGTTTTTATCTTAGCATACTTTGCTCAGCATTTAAGAAGAACACAGTGTAAAAGTATGTAGCTTTGTTTCGTTCAGCAATGTGTGTTGAAATATCAGTGTAGTATGTATTTCATTTTGTTCAGCTCAACACTGTTGCAGCAGGAGGCGCTACTGTGTTCCCTAAACTAAATCTTAGGATACTCCCAATCAAAGTGAGTAAGTTTGTAGTTCATGAAAATGTCATAACAATGTGTTACGTATAAAGAAACTTTAGTTATTACTACAATGATGAAAGAAGTTATATCAAATTATATAAATCACTGTTATTTGCCCAGACGTTAGTGCACATGGGGACTTAATTGGGTGTTATGAGCATTGTCAATAACACAAGAGAAAACTTTTGTGCTTTCTCTTTATTTAAATGGTACAGAAATATTGTATTTTATGGTTATGCAACATATTAATTTGCTATATATTTTCTGTTAATTCGAATTCACTAAAACTTAAATATTTGTAAGTCGCTCGCACGCTCCTGATTGTTATGTCATTACCTTAGTGACGTCATGGTTATAGACCACAAGTCAAGACAGAGTCGTCCAAAGAATAATATAAAGAGATGAACTTTAGCATATTGATACTGTATTGTTGGAATTTTCGCCCTGTCAAATGTTCGCCCTACGCAGGTAAAATATAATTTCGCCCAATGTTAATTGCACTTTTAACATCTGATTACTTTGTTTACCATATATCGCTTACTACTGTTCCCTGTAATGATACATTCACTCTTATTACAAAGGGCGAAAAGGGCGAAAATACTCCGGTATACAGCATATACAATGTACATACAAACTGAATGTGCATTTTGTCTCTTACATGAACAGATGTAGAAAAATCAAAGTTTATATTCCATTTTTTGGTGTTATGGTTGGTTTAAATTCTAGGGTTCTGCTATCTTCTGGTATAACCTGTTGCCCAGTGGTGACCTCGACGATCGATCACAACACGCATCCTGTCCGGTACTGCTGGGGTCAAAATGGAGTAAGCGCTTCACATCTTTGTATCATATTGCTTATCTTATTCGGAAGAAAAACAATCACATTTTTATTTTTTGAGTCAAATGCCTTTGAAGTTGAATATATTTGTCCGAGTGAGTTATCACAGTGGGTTTTTTTTTCAATTCGTTCTACTTTCCTAATTCCTTAATCAATTTAAATACATGATTGGGTTTTCTGGTTACGTTTTTACTTTTGTGATATTAATATTCATTGTTCCCGTATTTTATTGTACACTTGAACATCTATTTTCCTTTTAGTTACCACGAAGTGGATACTTGAACACGAACAAATGTTCCGGAAACCATGTAAAACTCATCGAATGGAAGAACATTTTTGACTTTTCATCAGTTATTTAATTGTAGCAGACGTTAACAATTACAGTTCATTAAATTATGTTCACGTCTAACAATGGATTTTTGCTTCATAAGAGTTATTTCCCCTTTTCCGATCTTGAATGATCATTTCTATCGAGTATCACACTATTACAATTAGAATCAGGCCTAAAAATTCTGTACGAGTCAAGTTCATATTTCTGTTTACCAACAGTGGTACATAAAGAATGCTACACTTATATGTACACTTCTTACGGTTATATGTTATATATTAAAACGTTAGTAAATGTACAACTTTTGTTATTTCTTTTTATACAAAAAAAAAAAACATTTTTGGAAATAATGAAAACATATTCTATATTATATCTGTCTGAACGGAAAGGCCGGGGATGGCACCGGTTTGAGGAAAGCGCAGCAGCTAGACTCGTCACTTTTTTGTGTCATGGATCATTCATGGATAAAAAATATGAAAGAACTTTAATTCGTATGTCATGGAATGAATGTTATGTGTCATAATTCCAACCCCGGGGTTTGGTTGTTTGTAGTATCGACATTGTTCTGTGCGGCGTGTGTAACATCAGGCCCAGGCCTTGTTCTGTGCGACGTGTGTAACATCAGGCCCAGGCCTTGTTCTGTGCGGCGTGTGTGACATCAGGCCCAGGCCTTGTTCTGTGCGGCGTGTGTAACATCAGGCCCAGGCCTTGTTCTGTGCGGCGTGTGTAACATCAGGCCCAGGCCTTGTTCTGTGCGGCGTGTGTAACATCAGGCACAGGCCTTGTTCTGTGCGGCGTGTGTAACATCAGGCACAAGCCTTGTCTTTACATGACGCGTTCGACATGTTCGTGGAAATTCATAGATAATACAGTATATGTGTAAGTAAATTCATCTCAGTTGATACCAGTTCTAATTCTGGAAACATCCAGATTAATTCCTTTTATCACCACTAATTTGATTACTGTGCGGACCCATATGTGACATCGAAATATTGTCAGTGTGAGCTTTGTCAGATTGATATCGTCTGAGGAGAAATCGGATCACCAAACCATCATTTTATGAATTCATTGAAAATTCTGAGGATGAATTATATTCATTAAGGCTATAGTTGTATCAAAGGAAGAATACCGATGGGTGATCTTACAATCGAACCCCGGGCTCACGCGATATATTAAAAGAACGCTCTGACGTTACCAATCAGCGTTTCCAGTTTTTGCGAATGTCGGGAGCCAAATCGAATCAAACCTTTTTCAGTATCTTACCCTTCAATTGAATATTTTTTTGTCAGCATGTTAACATTATAATTGCTGTAAAAAAAGTCAAATACCAAATGAATTTGAATGAAATAGCTAGCATGGACAAAAAATGTCAATGACTGAAAATAGCCACGTTTCACTTATAATATTTTTTTTATCTTTTTACTTTACAGACAGATCAGAAATACGCTAAATAAAATGTGTATGGAGACAGAATAGCTACCTGGATGTTTTATGTAAGTAGTGTCAACACGGAAGTGTCGTGATTTGTGCTAAACAAGCATTAACTTTATGTGAGTAGAGTTTAGTTCAGCTTAACCTATCTTTCATCAACCAGCGGACGTTTCACTTATATGATGACTTTCGGAATTTATATGAAAACATGTATTTCTATAGGGTGAATTTATTCCTATAGTTCAAAACAGAATGCACAGTCGAAGCACGCGCCATATTTTAAAAACGTAAACAAAACACTGACTTTTGAGTTTGAATTACGTTTTTGGTGATATTTGAACTTAAACAATAACCACATGTAGACAAAACATGGTGCATGGCTACTTTGTTAAGGCTACATCATTGTTATATCTGATATGTTGACACATTTATTGATTCCAAAAAATGTTTGCAAAAAGTGATCCGATTTGGGTACTGATCCGATTTTGGTAAGACGACAGAACTTGTCACTGTTGTGATTATGGTCAACTGAAGATTAAAGATATTTCTTTTAAAACCCCTTATATTTAAACTAATGAAAAATAAGACAAAGATACAATAACAAAATATTTATGATAAACAGTAGATATTGCATTTTTTTCACGGCGAGTTAAGTTTTTGCAATGGGAGACCACTCGAACGACAATACTGAAAAATGGAGATTCGGAAGGTTTTAAAAGTAGTCCCTTGGAAAAACAACGGTTCATACTAATAATAACAGCTGTTTTTGGGGTCACATGTGCTACTATGAGCCAATCATAGAACCTGTAGCAAAGTGCAAAATGAAATTTGGATTTACATACCTTGTGGTCGAGATCAGCTTTTGTTTCAGTAGAATATTTCCAATTAGATACTTGTACAAATATACTGCCTGTTTAAATGAGTACATTTATGCCTAGAAATTACTAAATTACGGTCGGTCTAGTAAGAAGAAAAGCTGGTAGTTGAATATTTGTTTATAGAAGTGATTTTATACAATTACATTATGTAAATCGTTGTTGTAAGAATTACATACATATCTAATAGTCATCCGAAGTCAAAGAAATAAATTAGACGTTATTGATTTTCATTTGAATCACTCTTGTTGACCCATGTGGTCGGGCAGGTGACCCCATACCATTTCACGTCCGATCGGGGAATCGAACCCCGCCCGCCTGGGTGAAAGGCAAGTGGGCTATCCATTGCACCACCCAACCACCTACACATGTTGGTCATATGGACAGTTTTGTGAGTGACGAGGTTATATATAGCGCTCTTCTATCTTACCTGAATTGATTCCGAAGCACGAGCTTCTTTGACATTATATTGCCTTGACATCCCAATCAGAAAACGGTTGAAGGTGTCATTCTTATGACGACTCAATGGTATATGACAATGCACTAGATGCAGTCATTGGAACAACGAAGGAAGCCTGTAAAATGGCTTTCCGACGTTTACGTCACACAATTTATCAATTGTATGTATCAATAGTGGACAAATAGTGGACAAATAGGGGATACATAAGGACAACTAGTGGACAACTAGTGGACAAATAGTGGACAAATATGGACAAATATTGGACAAATAGTGGACAAATATGGACAAAGGTGGACAAATAGTTGCCAAATTGTGGCGAAAATTATTACGGAAATTAAAACGGAAAATTGGTTTTCCAATTAAGACAAACAAAATAACAAAAACAAGATAATATACTGTTAATATTATCTGTTTTTATGTCTTTTTATTCGGACAAATAGTGGACGAATATGGACAAAGGTGGACAAATATGGACAGATATGGACAAATAGAGGACAAATATGGACAAATGTGGACAAATAGTGGACAAATATGGACAAATAGTGGACAAATATGGACAAATAGTGAACAAATACAGACAAATAGTGGACAAATAAGGACAAATAATGGGCAAATAGTGGGCAAATATGGACAAAGGTGGACAAATATTGGACAATTAGTGGACAAATAGTGGACAAATATAGACAAACGTGGACAAATGATGACAAAATAAGAAAACAAATACAATACAGAATTAGCAGTTTCTGCATATTTTTACATCAAAAAAGATTATTTCGTATTTGCTTTTATAATCTGAATAAGTTTAATCTCATAATACAACCATTTCATATTCCTTTCATAAGCTTCCGATGGATTTACAGTTGCAAAATTCGGCGAACGACTACTGCTGCTTGATAATCCAATGAAAACAGAAGTTTTTATATAATGCAATGTATAGGTTTCGCTTCAGTACTAGCTCGTTTCTTCCACAATTTGTTGAAAGAAAGAGAGTTGAAAAGCGAAAGTACATACTATTATGCACAAAACAAGACCAATCATGACCTATTGATGGCAAAAAGAGGACAGAGTAAGCACACATATGGACCAAAATCTATACTGAATCAACATTTTTTTTACATCAAACGCGATTCTTTGGTTTAAAAATACAAAAGTGTTATGTGAAATAAACATTCGAATCCCTATAAATGTAGGAAACGTTCGCATACCGAGCTTATACATTGAGTCGTGTGCCGTCATGATATCATGCGAGCATTGAGAAGATTTTAAACCTTTAAAAAATGAAAACAATTCTGTTTTATGTTGCTTTTTATCTTCTAATAGCCATTCCAATCAATTTCATTTCACACTTATCGTTTTTTTATGAATGACAAAACAACCCTAAATTAAAGTAAAAGACAATTTTTATTGAAAAAAGCATTCAAATCAATTTCCATTTCATACTTACAATACTACGCCATTTGTTGTAAGAGTGACGTAGGACTGCATACAATTAAAACCACTTTTCAGTTCAACAAGGACGATACAGCACCTGCAACAACGCCTTCAAGAAATACTCATTTCCTACACTCGAAAACATTGTAAATAAGCCGTAAATTGTATATATTGTAAATAGCGTATGTTGTAACTATTTATTGTTTATAAATATGTAATGTGCATAAGGTTATCAAGGAAAATGAAAATGTATGATTAAAAAGAGGAGAAAAGAGGAGAAAAGAAAAGAAAAACAAAAACAACGAAACAGCGTCGCCGAGAGAGAGAATACCTTAAATAAGAAGATAAAAGTCAGAAACAAGGGGAGATAACTCCGCCTATATCGATCGATGAAAATGACGTCACATTCGACGATCTTGACGTCATCTTAAGCTTCCCGTACGACTCTGACAAGCTCAGACGTTGACCACATACTCTTCATCACCGAATCACAAGACAAGCTTATACTAACCATCCAGTCACCTCCGCCAACGCCTGCACAGATACGGCAACATAAAGAAAACAACAAAAGGGAACGACAGACAATCAGTAACAACTGAGATCGCATCAAGAAACAGCACAGACAACGCATGTACAGACACGCACATAATCTACACTACCCTGTAAATATATCGTCCAAATAGATTATGGAATCACTTACCTTACTCTTTTATTATACCGTCATCTAATGTGTTATTGTGAATTGTCTACGTATTAACTATTTTTTTTCAAGTTCAAACAAAAACGCAACACCACATGCTACAACACTTTCCAGAGCACCAACACGCACACTTCCTACTCGAAAAACGGTCATCCCATACAATGCGTATCAGCTAGTTTTTACGTTAAAATATCGATAAAATTATTTAATTCATTTCACAAGATAAAATACTTAATTTGTTAGAAAAAAATAACACTTTTTAATGTTTTTTTCTCTGTTTTTTTTTATTGTATGAAAAAAATAGACCAAAATCATTTACGATAGAAGGGAAGTAACTCTTATACTTTTCATTTTCGGTTTTGAC